AGACGCGCTGCGCTATAGCGCCGATGGACGTAATTAGGGGCATGGCTGTTGCGTACGTATGTGCAGTCGTGTCGGCGAATTTTGTTCGGGCCAGCGTGCACATGCAGCGTCACCGTTCGCTTCTTATCCTACGCCTATATACGTGGCTTGCGATTTTTTTGTTTTATCCTTTCTCGCGGGCGCGACATCCATGTATATAATATAGAGCTGTGCGATCGGCTCGGTGACATCGCGTGGCTCTATATGTACTCGAGCAAGCGCACGCACCGGGCATTATCCAGATGAGAACTTTCTCTCCGTCGTCTACGTACGGACGAGCGTGTATCGCCTTCGTACTTATGTACCAATAATAACAAGACAACTGAGACTATGCACGCGAATACGAGTCCATAAAAGATGTGCTTAAAAATTGATTTCATTCGTGCAAACTGCGAAGCGCGCATATAGGCATGCAAATTTTCACCGAATACCGCGACGTCTGCCAGGCGAGCTCACGACGTATCTAGGTAAAAACAACAACTTTGCCATCACCGCCGCTGCCACCACCACCACTAACACTGGACTCGACTCGTAAATACTTTAAATTGACCATAATACACGGCGATCGCTTTAATACGTATCAGCTGGTCGCTCGATTAGGTCTGTGTACGCGCATCGTTGCCACCGATCATCGCGGTATAACCAAAAGGAAAAGTGATTATAATGCTCGTATGTGTCTGCGCGTAATACCTTTCGACGGATGATTTTTAGTTAGATGGCGTATATTATAGACAGCGCACAGCTGATCGGACATTCGAGCGCAACGCGAGTTTCAACTTTCTTTTCATTTTAGCGACACGTATCGCGTGCAAATTCATCGCGTCCGTGCACTGACCGATCCTCGTTTGCCTGTCTATATGACTTTTCAAAAAGAAAAAATGAATATCAACAATTACTGTAACGAGTTTTCTGCGCTGCTTATATACTGGCAGCAGCTACATACACAACGATATGACGCTACGACTACACGACAAATTATTCTAATTCGAGCAATTTCGCATTGCTTAACGAGAAGAAAAATGCCTTTCTCGGAAAAGAAGTCTAGCAGACGTTGGCACCGCTCGATGCAATCTCTTTTCGAATATCTCGATATGCCATGCCGATATAAGAGCAACTGCCCACGCGGCTCGTAGCCATGGCATCGAGCGAGCTCGATCGGTACTCGTCGTTTCGCGTTTACCCGCCACACACTTATACACGCTTCCTATTTCCGGTTCTTTGTTTGTGAGGAGCTTCGAGCTACGCTGCGTGAGAGTAGCTCTCCGACTTTTGGCAGATGCGGATATATGCATAAGTAAGAAAAGATAAAAGCGAAAAACCACGAGCGTAGCTGGATTTTAGGTCAGGCGAAAATCTGTAATGATGTACGGGCGCGAGGATGAGAGCACGTGTGTATACAAACAACAGGGGGACTCGATGAACTTTCGACTTTTTGAGGTCAAACATAGACGTATGTAGGTGGTATAATTCTCAAAGAAGGACCAACAGCCTTTTTTCGACAATCGAACCTGGCCTCGTATAAAGCTACATGTAATTAGTGCCGTTATTTCCCGAGCGCCTTTTCATATGCCGATAAACTTTTTCGTTTGTCGACTACTATACGTATTCGTCTAAATCAATTGCCAGAGTGAAAACCAAGTCTTTACTTGAAATGCTATTACTGGCGTGTACTCAGACATGTTCAAACGTAAATTAATATTATCATTCTCATTTACATACAGCACACAGCTATAAATTAAACGAAAGTTTGAGAATTATTGCGGTAATTTTAGACGTCATTATTTCATGACTGAATTCAATTCAATGCAATTATTTGCTAACTTTTAAAGTCATACTATAAAATCCTGTGCATTACATATAATAGATGAAATGTGTGAAATGACGAGCGTAAGAATTATACCAACCAAGTTTTCAATTCTGTTTTGAAAGCAAACACATGGATGACTATCGACGACAAATATTTTTATGATATATATCTAATACAATTTAACACGTACTCGGTAAAACAAACCTTTAAAGAACCGAATGATACATGAATATAAATTTGACATATTTTATTTGTTGTATTCAGAGGAAATTTATCGATTATTATTCGATGAGTCAATCATCTATTATAAAGACAACACAATTTAGAGTGCCTAACCCAAACAAAATGCAAACTTTCTCTGTATCTCGGAGCAGTCGTTTGTTTATACTTGTGACACCGACCACTTCACACCTGTTTACGATTGGAAAAACGGTACAGGCAGTTAATTTCGCGTGTTACTTTAAAGAAATACATTAAACACTCGTGCGTGCTGTTTCTCTTTCTTCATCTTTCTCTCTCTCTCTAAATGGCATTGTCTTTTTTGCAGGCGTTGAAATTCGCCTCAAGCGGTGGACCGTTATATCGGAAAAGCATTAAGGAATTCCACGTGGTCGATGAGGTATTTGCAGGAAAAATTGTGAAAAAATGGTCGCTGATAACATCTTGAATTATAGCTAAATCTTGCCATTAGCAATTTGATTGGGCAGTTTCGAGACTAAAGTTCCAAGCGCCTGTACGTATGCGATAAGTCATTGCGAGAGTATCAGTCAACGCTGATGGAAAAGTAAAAAAAAATCATGCCAGACAGGCAGTCATGGCATTTTATAAATGACATTTGTCCCGTTAAAATGAGCTTGCCATTGAAGTCTCCACGCGCTATGTCTAAAACGTAAACAAGTGCCTCTTGTGCGCGCGCCCGACTCATGAGCATTACGCAAAAAATAAAGGTCGGCGTTCTCACATTAAACAATTTTTCCCTCTTTCTCTCTTTACCGAGACCCATAACTTTCGTTTGTTCGATTAAGTATGATGGAGCCCGCGAAACGAAAGAACGTGGATTTTGATCGTGAACTAGATAGTGTGACGCTGAGTAAAAGTAGAGCGGTTGAATAATTTCATCACGTGGATGGCATCGATTTTTCCTTTCTTCGCATTAGAATGTATTTTGCGTACAACATATCATTTTTGTTTATATAAAAGACATACATAAATGGGGTATGCATTTTGATCTTTTCAATCTGTGATAGTACAGGGCTTTTGAATAATTAGTATCGTTGACATCAATAGCAAAAGAAGTAGCAAATTGAAAATTGATACCGGCATTAATAGAATAGCCCAAGTAAGGATTCCTGACGAATAAGAATTTTTTGCCTGCGATGTGCAACTAGTCTGTAGGTGCACAAAGTGCACACGACCGGCAGCGTATAGCCTAAGAAGATTTAGGTCGTAAGTTTGCGCAAAAGCGCGGGAGGCGAAAAAAATACAAATGTGTTTATTTGGGATAGAGTCTCTGTTTGACTCGTTCTACTACGGTAAAGTGGAATTTTCTTTTAATGGAGCAGAAGGTTTCAGGACACTCTTGCCCTCGATATGAACTATTGAAATTGAATATTGGACGTGAGAAATAAAAATGTCTCCAAGTACACCCTGCAGTCCGGAATGAGAACAACATAACGTTTACCTCAAACTATGTTAACTTTAAAACAAAATTTATATTCTTCCAACGATGAACATACGAATTTTCCCGATATTTCGAGCACGCTCGTAGTTAATATTGCATACACATCTCAGCTCGAACGTCAGTGAAAAATGGGCTTTAAATTTCGCTCTGACGTAACAACCCCTCGACAATTTATCGCTATCAACATTTAAGTTTACCTAAAAAAAAAAAAAAAATTCGTGTGTGCGTTACAATCTGCTATTTTATCAGATCTAAATTTTCGTAATAAAAGTTACGCGGACGGTGCGCGGCCCCGTTGAAATATTCAGATTGAATCGGCGTTACGCGCCCGCATACTTGAGACCGCGCACCGTCCGAGCAGCACTACATCTATACTACAGAATGCATTGCGCTACGGCCGGTGCATTATTTGAATTCACGACGACGTTTCTTTATTTATATATATATTTTTATTACGTACACATTGTGTGCAGTCGAGTGCACGTACGGTATCTATATATATATAAGGTGCACTTTTAAGTTGCAATGCACACACTGCGCGCGCCTTGCACAAGTCGTGCTTTTCTCTTCCTTGTTTACATTAAATGTTGGTGTGGATTTTCTATATGTACATTTACGCGTTTAACGATGCCCGCACACGAGTACACAGTACACACTCGCAGGCGTATGCGCGTATCCTTTAGCCTTTTTTTATTCACGATAATTTAAAGTGCACGCGCCGCGTAACTAACATCAAAAAACTCTCCGCTGTACAGCGTCGTTAAATATTATATAATACAGTGATTGTCGAATAGCATTTGTTATATACATATTTTTCTTTCTACGTTCAAGTAATTTGGACTAGCGACTTAGAGATTTATTATTGTCACCGAAGCATCGCGAAACTTATGTAAACTCGAACTTAAAAGTAGCCAACGCATTGCCTGCTTCAGGTATCCCATGATTTGTACCCCTTTCATTCTCATTTCTGATAAATCAATTTTATTTATTTATTTATTTCGCGCCCTCGAGGAAGTCATTTTCAATAGCAAACTGTGTATCTTTTAAATACACCAGAAACTATTACTATGTTCATCAAATTTTAATTCCAGTTCACATAAAAACAACCCGTTATTTTTTATATTTAAAATCTGCACATGCATAAAGACAACTTGTAATTAATCAATATAGTATATGCATGAACGTTTAAATTATTATTGCCACTTCTGAGAATTTAATGATTTCTCCCGATCTACATTTGAATCGGGTAAATGCGAGTAAAAACGAGTCCTTGTGAAAATCTGTATATTTATCTACAAAGTATTCAGACCGATCGCAAGTATATATATTAAATTTATCTTGATAGAAGTTGCAATGATGCATACTTTATTTTTTCTAGTATCAGTAAAATTGAGTAAATAAGAATTATTATCAAAAATTACAATTTAAATCGATTAATATGAATTTTTATTTTGACGAAAATTGTTATTACAGTGAACAATGTCGAGTCAGCGAATGACATCAGATTCGTGGATGAATCGTTGGATGAGCAAAATGACGCGCAAATCTATAAGGCCGTGGTCGACTCGATGAACGAATGGCAACTGAAGACTCAGCGCAAAGGACGCCACAGCCGACGACGACGCGAAGTTTCGCGAGTCTGCTACGAGGATGTCGGCTGCTTCGAGGATACAGGTCCTTTTAGCTACCTCGAGATGTTACCTTCGCCGCCTAAGGATGTTGGCACCAGGTAGATTTAGCTTTATTTCAAATCCGGGGTATCCTGGTAACCAATAACAATATTGGTACACAAAATTTCAATAACACGTACATTTTTAAAAGCAAACAATAAAAACTTAGAGCTAATCTGAAGTAGTTCATAACTTTTAAGGTGGTCTGAGGCTTTCAAGTTTTTCGCTCTCTGAGCACATTATCTATTTTAATCCTTTTTTAAGCCCCAAAGTGTACATCAATGATGTAAAAATTTCTCTAAAAAAAAAAAAAAAAATTTTAAAGTGCGTTTAAATCTGATAGTTAGTAATCTAATTTTGAAATTAAAAAAAATTTCGATCCCCGAAGCATCTGAAAAATCTGCAAAAATCGAGAACTTTTTAGGTTGTAAGAAGGCACCTCCATAAATACTTTCAGACTTTGAAAGTAAAAAAAAGCTTTGATATCAGTATTAAAAAAAAAGTATTATTTATAAATTTCAATTCTAATTATCCAGAGACCATTTATGACTTATTGTAGCAATCTATGGGGGATGTACAAATAAAAATTAATTAAGGGACGATCTAATAATACACACACTTACTTTACATGCGCGCGTCAGTGTCACTAATTACAGCAAATTACGATGTAGAAAAACGTTATTATCGAGTATTATTCAGTTGCACCAGTATACGTAAAATGCATTTAATCCATACAAGCCAAGCTATTTCGAAATCCTCTCCATCTTGTAACTAATAATTATTTTGTGCTCATTGCTAAGTACCCGTTTGAATATATATTTTTCCTCTTAGTTCAGTAATAAATATTATTAAAATATGCACATGTCTATTTTTTTCACAAGATACCATAAAAAGAGAGCATAAAAAGACAAGCGCACTTGGTATACGTTTACACTTTATTTACATGCAATAGGCCGTTGAACTATTTAAAAGATTTTCTACAACGAAGCCTTGAATTGTTGCAGATTTTACGTCTACGGAAGCCGCAAGGCAAGATCCATACCGATGGAGGTGCCGGCCGAGAACATAAGCGAAAAAGCAGGCCACACCATCGATCCGAAGCTACCGACCAAGGTGATCGTGCATGGCTTCGGCTCGAGTTGCGATCACGTCTGGGTTTACGAGATGCGAGCTGCCCTCACTGCAGTCGTCGAGTGCAACATCGGTAACATATCCTTTTTAATCACTCTGCTTTTTCCTCCAATTATTAATATTCGTACATTTGCTCGCGTGGATTATAAAATTTCTGAGTTCATAAGGATAATTTTTATCGTAAAATATGCAAGCGAATAAGAACGTTGCATGTATAGTAAAGGTGCGCAGAAAAGCCGTTACTTCAACTTCGACACGCTCCAATTGAATTGCTCACAATAAGCTAGAGGAGCCTTCGACACGAGAACTTGTATAACACAACGTTTTAAATTTAAATTTAACTACCAATTGTAGAACTACTCCTCGTCGATAGCAGAGGCTATGGCCTTTTTTCTTGTGCCAAGTCCAGAGGCTTATAAATACGCGAAACACCGCACTCGAAATCGGATTCGCTATTAACAACTACTTTGCATCGAAATCGATGAATAATTCGATCGCTTACAAGTGCTCACGATGATGTTGTAGTTTGCGTCGATTGGGGCCCAGGAAGCGCCGTGCCGAATTATGTCCGAGCCGCAGCCAACACGCGACTGGTCGGCCGTCAGCTGGCCAAGCTCGTGCGTAGCCTCAACGTACCGCTTGACAAGGTCCATCTGATAGGCTTCAGCTTGGGAGCTCACGTCGCCGGTTTCGCAGGAGCCGAGTTGGGCAACGTCTCGAGGATTACAGGTTCGTGAGTCCTACATTAATGCACACGTTTCATTGTCATCTTTTAAATAAATTAAAATTAACGGCAATATGCGGCAATAAAAATATTATATTTTATGCATTTATCCTAGCGCAACTACACAATTATATATATATCTTTATCGTATCATGCAAGTTACTCGCCCTTTTCCTTTTATTTTTCAATGGAATCAATCAATAGTTGAAACGAGAATGAGAAAATTAACAATTTTCACGCAGTCGTAGTACGTATATTTTGGATGCACCGATCGTTAGAAAAAAAATCAATAAATCGAGTTTGCAGGCACTAATCATTTTGTTGGTAGTCTATGACAGTTAAAAGAGAAATCACTTGAATATATATGTGTACACATATTTGTGGTTTTACCGGTTTCATAGAAAACTACTTGCTCGGTAAATCATGCAAAGGTTTCAAGGTGCACATCCACTTTGTCTCTCAGTGAGAATCACTTTTTCATTGGCTCTTTCGCAGCTGGTCCTTTTTCATTTACGAGATTTCATCTAACCTATATTTTTTGTCAAACGACTGACGTTAATATTTTTTTAATTCAGCGGCAACATACTTGTCAATGTAACGTTATATCGCTTTAAAATGCTGCGTCCGAGCGTCTACCATAACTGAAAGCATAAATAAAGTAAATTACGAGCCTTATTATAAGTTTAAGAATTTTCTTTCAGGCTAAAGCGTTACAAAACTACAGTTAAACAGGCATGAAAAATCGCTCGAGTTAATTTTATTTCTTTCTAATGGTGCCAATGAACTTACGATGCAGAGGCGGCTTCTCACATGGATTGACCAATTGATTATATTATAAACTTTTTTACTTAAAAGATGTATGCGCAGCTACATTTTTATTATTATAAAATTGTAACTCGTTATTATGTTCAGCAATAGCAAAAAGCCATGCTATAATAAATTCATAAGGTATAATTAAATATACGGCAGATACGAGAACTTTCAACATTGCACACGCAACAGGGCAAAAAGCTTGATTTTTTGTTGTCGTTGTAGTTTTCTGAACAGTATCCAATGAAATGAAAAAAAATCTACTAACGCTAAAAAACGAACTATACAATGTGGAGATTATGTACTATAATTTAAAAAGTAAAATGAAGCAAGTGAAAAAGAAAAATTTGCTACTTGTTCAAAGTAAAAAAGCGAGAGTCGGGCACTGCTAAAATGAAAAGTTTTGCATTAGGTCTGATTAGAGATTTCATATGTCATCTTTCTATCCTACGTATAGTTATAGTTACACAATTTCACAAAAAAATTTCTAGAAAAGTTTACTCTACAATGGTCAATATTATAATAGTAAAAATACCTACGATAGTCTTTCATTTCAAGGATTTAAACGATAGACTTCCAACTCTTCCGGGATAGAATTGTCCAGTGTAAAAGTGTTATTTTAAAAGATATTTCGAAAAATGTATCAGTCGAAAACGTACTTTACAGGCCTCGACCCAGCCGGACCACTTTTCGAAGCCCAAGACCCTCGAGCTCGTCTCGACGCCAGCGACGCAAAATTCGTCGACGTCATTCACAGCAACGGTGAGCAGCTGATCCTTGGAGGCCTCGGCTCATGGCAACCAATGGGCCACGTTGATTTCTATCCAAACGGCGGTAGGATGCAGTCTGGATGCACGAATCTCTTTGTCGGCGCGGTCAGCGATATCATTTGGTGTAAGTAGCATTGAAAACTTTCAATTCGAATTTCCCGTCAGCCAAAAGCTTTCGCGAAGCCAGTTAGTGTTCGACGTACGACCCATAAAATAAAAAAATTATTAACGACCGATCAATTAATTATCATTGTTTTATACTCGTTTATTTATTCTGGCTAAGCTATTTGCCATAGAATGAAGCGGAGGTATATTTTATAATTCCATTCACGACAAGTCAATATCTCCCTCTTTCGATTGGCGCGACTTTCGATCTCTAGCGAGACGTGCGAAATTTCAATGGAATTTTTACGTAATCGCCATCTAAAATGCACGTATTCGTAGAGGCGAGCAGGTGCTTGCGTGGATCTTTAATGATGAACATCGCATCGGCAACGTCATACTCGACACATGGCATGCACTCGCAGATCAGTCGCAGGCATACGGAACAAGCACGATAATCGCTCGACGTACATATCGTAAATACTTTTTTCCAATCGGCTTCTGCGACATCACTTTCTCGAGTCGCGAGATATCGATGTATACACCTTTGTGTGTCGCCTGCACGATTATTAGAAAGCAGCTGTTGCTGCGCTGACACTTTGAACGTCGTGGTTTTCCTCTTGCACTGCGCGTACATACACGCGAGAGTGCGTGCGATAAGCACCCACGCTATTACCATGCCGCAGACTACAAGCTGCATAATTGTTATTTTGATAAAAGTAGGCCATGAACATTTTTAGAAATTACATATAATATTCGTTACAATTGACAGCTTGTCATTTTTGGCTGTTGAAAATAAATAGTTGTCGATGATTCGCGACCGGAGCTGGTCACTTCTCACGCAGACAGAAAATTTTTTTAAGTGAACCTTCGTTAGGTGAATTTTGTTCTTCTGTATATTGGTAAGGAGGAACATTAGGGCTGTAATGTAGCTTCGTGTATCTCTGTCTCTGCCGGTCTCGTTCACTTACTTGCCTTGCTCTGGCTATGAGTGATCTTGCGATTTGCACGGTCAAACGATACATCATGTATGCCATTTTTTCTCGATAATAATCGTAGTGCGATAGTATATTACTGCTCTAAACTGCGAAAAACTGAAAAGTCCCAGAGTAAGTTTAATAAACACGTGCTCAGGGGCTTTCTTTTTTCGCGGCTTAAGCCTGTATGCTATTTTGCATACCCCGTGTCCCAAAAGTCGCTCTTCTCGCTTTGCGCAGCGGCCGGGAAGTAGCCTTTTTTTCACTTGTGTTTCGAAGTTACTTGGATACTGACTGTCTGTTGACAGTTATTATCGAGTCGGCTCGCGTCGAGCGTCGCCGTCTGTGTCAGTCAATCAGAGACCGTTTTACGATGCTTCACTTTGAGGTCCATTTCTATTTTATAAGTATATCTCTTTTTTATAAGTAAAATAATAATTGTTTTAAATGCTAGTAATAGGCATCGCGTCAATTACATTCTCTCGTTTAAAAAACCTTATTTTCCTTGTGTTACTTCAGCGAGTCCAGTAGAAGGTCGCTCGCTGTGCAATCACCGACGAGCCTACAAATTCTTCACCGACTCCATAAGTCCGAAATGCCACTTTCCTGCTTTTCCATGCGAAGGCGGCTACGATGCTCTGCTCAAGGGTGAGTGTTTTCCCTGCGGCACCGAGTCCCAGGAGTGTGGAATCATGGGTTATTACGCCGACGAGTCACCCGCCAGAGGTCAGCTTTACCTCATGACAAGGGATGAGGAACCTTTCTGTGCACATCAGTATCAGGTACATTGATTTTTTTCCATTCTTGTAATTTTATCATGCCATGGTCGTGATGGGTATGAATAATTGTAAGCTAAGACTATATGTTGACTAGCTCGTGTTCTGAGAATTTGCTTTGATTCAAAACCTTTTTTGAACGCTTCGAACCTCCTTGCCGATTTCGTTGTAATTTTCAATGTTAATTACAGGTGAAGGTTTACAATAGCAAGCACGAGCGACCAGTAAAAAGTTACGGCAGATTGCAAGTGACATTATTGTCTGATAGTGCCATCAACGAGACATTCACGATGACGAAGAAAGACGACGAAGAGTTACTCGTTAGTGCAATTCTGCAAAAAATCGTCGTGCCCCATCCAGCGCTCATGAATATCGATGCCTTAGAGGTCGGTTCGATAGAATAGTTAATTTGATCCTCGTTTTGATCCATTATTTCATATTATTTCATATATAACCGAAAAATACATACAGATAAAATACACGGCGTACAGCGGATGGATTCAGTCGGGTCTCGTCTCCTGGTCCGTCGACAAGGTCTCCTTGACCGACCCTCACAACAATGTCCTATCCATCTGCAAACGCGGCCTCATCCTGGAATCTGGCAAACCGGTTTATCTTCCGCTCTTCAAGGGTGACTGCAGTGTCCCACCCGAAATCGAGAATATGACGGTCGCTCCGCTGCTCGCCAAGGATGAGATGGTGCAAGCACCACAGAGTATCGGACCATTTACCAAGGAGCATAATTACGATAGGAATCATGGTATGTTGCTCGAATTACTTATGTAAATGTTAATTCTTGGAACAGGTTGAAACTTACTTTTTTGTCGTGTTTTTGAACAGACGGCGGCTTTACCAACGAGGTGCCGCAAAAAAGTTTGGGACCGTTCACCAAAGACCAAAATATCAAAATTGCTAACGAGAAGGCCAAAGACTACGATAGAGATAAATCCGAAAAGCAAAAACATGTCCAGGTTAGCAGCAAGTTATTAACTTCGAATTCAGACCTTAAAATTTAAATGAATTCTATTACGAAATAATAATTTATGAACGTGTTTGCAGGATGCAACGAATTCCTGGTCATTCCACTTTGACATACCGAATGATGGTGCTGCCAATTCGGCTGACGTGGGTGAATTTGTCGAACGGGGTCGAGGTTTTTCCGGTTTGGGAGCCCCTTTGAGTCTGCATCAAATACCACCAGTTGTTTCATTGGTGTCTTCGTCGTCGCTCTCGGATCAAGCGAATCCCAAAGAGATGCACGAGCCGCTCATACGTTCTAATGGAAATCACAAAAAGGACCCTGCGGGTCGCTCTCTCAGACTACCGGAAATCACGGAACCTTTGCTAAAAGCTAAGAACTCGAGGTCCGACGCTCAACAAGACGTTACCGAAGAATCACCGAGCTCGCGAGAATTTACCATTCAGTTTTTGCCGGAAAGAATAGCCGGGATTTTGGCTCAAGCGGAGAAGTACGCGCGCATGACGCTACTGCCACTGATATCGCAGTACACACCTAGCTTCATCGGTGGTGCTAGAAGCGACAAGCCAAAATATTTCCCACCCTTGGGTAAGTTCATCTTTCAAGTCATCTGGAAAATGCGAGTTTTACACTAATAACGAGAATTAATACGCTTTTTATTTGACATGAAACAGGAAATATTTTTGGTACTCGCGAAACAGATGACGACGATTCGAGCGAAGAAAAACGACGCAAAAAATTACTCTCGTCCAAAGACAGTCGCACGAAATATTACTACGAGTTTGAAGAAACTGTAACACCTAAAGCCAGCAGTAGCACTACTGGCACTAGTAGCAGTACCGATAGCAGTAGTAGCACCTTGAGTCCAGAAAGTGGACGCAGTATTGTTTACGCTGTAGCCTCGACTACACCTGGCGTCCCTAGTTCCACGAACGAAAGCAGAGAAAAGAATGGAAGTAACGAGTGGGTCCCCATACCTGTGATGATGCCAGCGGCTCATACTACCGTCAGCGTAGAAGCTGCAACGGGTAGAAAGCAAAAATCTCTCGAAGGTAAATTATTGGCGCAACTTTGACTCGAGCTCGATTGCGATCGATAAAGTATAATATATCCTTGTTGTGCATTGCTTTGACAGGCGAGTGGGTAAGTGAAAGCGGCACCAACTGGTCACCACGCAGCAACGACACCGACTTGCCCGTGCCCGAGACGAAGATCGACGACTGGACCTCGCTAGCCGTCGCTCCACTCGATAGCGCGTCGTCGACGTCGACCTCCGTCATCAATGACTCGAGCGCCGGAGCGGAAGTGACGATGCCGACCGAGCAGCAAAGGAAGTTCATACCGCTGCTTGAATTCACCGAGAGTGTGACCGACTCGCCGAAATCCACGGACACGGACGGTGAACTGCGGACGTCATCGAGAAATTTGGTCAATTCCTACGTTTACGGGACGAAAAACGACCCTCGCACCAAGTACATACCCCTGGTAGCCGAGGAGGATATGGGCACTTTTACGGCCAGTATCGTACGCGATACCAGGTGATAATGTGAGCGTTACGGTCGGAGACGATTTTTTACTAATTTTAAGCTTTTTTGCTCTCTCGCTCGGGCTCTTACATTATTTTACGAAAAAAAACGAGTTATGAGATATTGTGAGCGACTGATGTACTTGGTGTGCCTTTTAAAAATGTGCATTTTTTTATGTGCTTTACAAGTATTTTCATAGACTGTAATTTTTAGAAAATAGTTGTCAAATTCCCTATCGGATTCACCTGCATCCTGATTTTACGTTGATTGAAAATAAAAATTAAGACATGAACCTACTAGGTTTAAGATTTTTGTATATAATTTGTGAAAATTTGACGTTTTTTTTTTATTAACTATTGGAAAATGTGTACAAAATTTGGAAATTTCCAAATTGTTAATCAAAATGAACATCTTGGTTCGATGAAAATAGTTGGATCTTTATACATTAAAATTTATGTGTACTGTCATGAGTATAAAATACTTTCATAAGTTATGTTTTTTATTATTTTATTTTAAGATGGTTATACACACCGTAAACTTGATAAGAACGAGGTGTTGGATGACAGCGATTATTACCTGTGTGATATTAATTTAAGTTAATAATTATCGTTATATACTTTGTTTATTATTACCGCAAGAACTCTAGAACGAGTTTGGTAAATAGTTAATATTTTACTAGTAATTCTAAATTGTAAATAAATATTTGCAATATGCCATAGTTATAAAATGTAACACCGATTAAAATAATAAATCACAAAATATATTCTAGTGTAGAACCATTTTTTTTTTCAATTTATATATTATTATTTTCCTCGAAAAATAAAAACTACAATAAATAAGTAACTCGAGTAACCCAAAAATTAACAACGTTTCATTATACTACTCTATCATTCAATATAAAAATTGCCAGTAAAAATGCTAAATTCGTTTTGTAAAAATTGTGAGCCTTTGACTTTTATTAAAGATACAGAGACATAGTATGTATAGGGATATTTACAATCTATATGTATTCGTATATTACTTTTTGGAAATCATTTATTTTAATTATTCTGCAGACATTCGATCAATCACATGCAAATATTGGTTATAACAACACTATTCGTCAATTATGTGGTAAAATATCTCGACAAATCGTATTCTTTTCGTTCATGACTTATATTTGTGATTAAAGACTACTTGTATGAACTACCATTAACAAAAATTACAATCGATTCAATTTGAATAGCGTATACTATAATTTAATTTGTCGAAAGTGTTTTTGCACTTTCTTTCGATTCACAGCATACTATTCATTTTTATCGGGTCTAAACGTGATCACAGGTTATAGTTGATAAGTATGAACCAAACAGTGGAAGAGCTAAATTTTTGCGATGAGCTGCATACAACAAAATACGTTGTGTTTCTGTATTAATAAATGTTTTATTTAAATCGAAAATTATTAAAAACATTTTTCTTTTTCAATATAACTTTTTCTTGGCCTTATTACATTATCACATGGGATCGGATTTCACACACAATCAACGCATATGATACATACAGCCCACTGGCTTATGGGATTTGCTACACGTATGATATGAACAACTATTATGTACGTATATTTCATACAGATTATTATTCGCTTGGTTCTTCAGGTACCCATTAAATGTCACACTCATTTAGGTTATTATATTTCAAAGAAAGAAATGAAAATTCTACAAACAACGGATCTTTTGAATTTAATTTTAATTTCATTAAAAATTTCCCGTTCAAAACTTAAATCGAATGTCAATCAAAAGTTCCTGAAATAAAATACCAAGCATAAAGTTTTTATCAAATACTTGCATTCTTGCGTATGAAAAATACTTATAATATCGATAATTGAATTTAAAAAAAAATACGATGAGCCAAATATAATTGTATACACATCTTTTCATTACCTAAATATGTACATCAAACGCACAGTCTTATCTGGACGTGTTAACTTAATGATTTTAAGATTAGGTACTTTATAGAATAATTAGTCAAATTCTAAGAGTTTGGATGTTGACATATATATATATTATATATGAATTTGGTATAATATATTATAAAAAAAATAACATTCTGACGAGGCGACGGACAAGTTCATTACTTTGTATACAATTATCCCAAAAGGACGAAAATCATTTATACTGTTACCATTATTATGCATGACTTGTATTTATACTTGCTTGGTATAAGAAGTGTAATTTTATTTTTTTATTAATGATTTAAATTTCAATTTTAGCAGTAACTTTAGGTATTATATTTTAATAGATCAAATAAAAAATTCTTCATGTAAAAATTTATATATTTTTTGAATATGGCATGACTTTCAATATGAAACTGCTCAGACTCTTTTGCTTCAATTAATCGATTGTGATAACAATACATTTATGTACCGATTTGAGTGTTCATGCAGAACTGTACATCAGTTGCGTTACATTAAATTACATACGTCGATATTTCGTATGAATATATATAAAATATAAGGCCGCCTCATTCAATATACTGACTAGATCAGTTTTTTAATCATATTTTATTATTTTATACTAAATACTAAAGTGTCCATGTATATCGTTTCTTTTCGGGTTGGCAATCTTTTCAGATGTATATAAAGAACTATCATTTATTATCGTTCAATTTTGTTCTAAAATATAATGTAATCGTAGCGACAAAATTTTTAATGATTATAGTGCACGAAATCATACATAAAATTTTTTTTACAACTTAAATATAATCATAAATGATTTCAATGCACCTTATTTATTCATGTCAATTCATGATATTTTATTTCAAATTAATGGAAAAATTTAATAACGATTTCTTTAGATACTTATTTACATGAAATCTAGGACCGTTAGGATCATTTTATAGATTCTACTAAAGATTTTGTCTTACAATTTTCATACATTCGTAGTTACTTGACACTGAATTGACACTATTGGGTCTATTGGGAAGAGACAAACGAACTTTATATCATTTTGTAATATGAATCAGTAAAAAATATTTGTATTAATGCAAATGAACTGTTTCCAAAACTATAAATAACATTTTATGCTGATAGCATCGAACATAGTTCAGCTTTCATTGATATAGGCGCTACGTAACTCAATGCTTTCCAGTCTGAGCTATTATCAATATCGAAGACTGATAAGTTACAATAATATCTCTCAACTATGTTCAATAAAAGATACTTTGTTAACAATGAGTAATACAATGTTATTCGTGTGAAAAAAGTACTTCCAAATCCTAAATAGGACGGGGCTGCTTAACTAGGAACTACGCAGAAACGATAAAGATGAAATAATTTTTGAGTTGACACATCAGTTGATTCATAATTAATAAGTATTCTTGTATATAACTGTATATCGTTCGTCAAAATGATTAGTATTTCAAAAGATATACTAATACCGTATTTTTGCGATATAAATTCATTAATGCAAAACGAGTTCAAAAAATATATAATACAAAGATCAATGTTTATAAATTTTTTTTAAGGTTTGAATGCTTATTCACTTTTGAATTTCATTGAATGCTCTATACTTTTTAGGTAAAATACTACCGTTTTCGGACATAAAAATTTGACTGTAGAGCTGTAAAAGTTACTATATTTTATAAATTCATAGTTAGCACTAAAGTTTCTGATTGAAATTCGTAGTGTGAACAATGATATTTTCAAAAACAGTAGCCTTCATTACTATATACAAAATTCGCATGAATTCTTAAAACGGCTCGTTACACAGAATACTTATTATAATAATATGTTTAACAAGTTTCAACGGTTGTAATGTCCGAAATGATTGTTGAAAATAACAATCTTTACTAACAAAAACTCATGTTGTCTAAATCAAAAATTCAATTCATTAAAACAGTCCAAACGAAATAGTATACAAAAATTATTCAAATAGTATTTACAGTTCACAGTGAAAATGATAAATTACTATTTACTGTTACTTTCAAACCCATGTCTCTTTGAATAACTATTATCAAACGCACACGTATAAAAGTATAGAACTGAAAAATCACGACGTGGTTATTCGCTTGCGTGTAGGTAAAAATTAATTACAACTCTGGTACAGAAGAAGTTGAAGATGTGTTTTTAGAATTAGCGAAACACATCTCGGCGCCTTCTTCGTTTCACCGTCCCATAGACCTACGACCTCTGAACTGACTCGCGCGTCACTTTTTGTCAAAAAGTGGCAGTTTACTTCTAACGGCACCTTCGCACACAACTAATCTCTGCGCTGCATTGATGTTGCACAGGTTACCGGATCCTTCCAGTCTCGCTCTGAGAAAGGCTATCCTACTAGGGACTGCGAGATCAAGGCAGTGCTCACCTAATTTACCGTTACCATTTGCTTGTTTACGCTCAAAATAATCGACTATTTTGGCAATGGCTTTGCTCGACGGACGATCGAAGCGATCTTCCCAATAAACGGAGTCACCTCCACCAAGACTAGCCAAGTCCTCCGAGGAATCTGTGTATATCGACGAGGTGCGATGATCGTCAAGAAGGAAGAGGCTAGAAGCTGCTGAACTGCTCAGGGTCGACGTGTGACGACGATTTGGCGGCTCAGGACTTAGATCCTCGCCGACGCAGCTCCAAAAGCCGGACTCGCAGCTACCACGTCGGCGAGTTTCCCAGTTTTCTCTGAATAAGGGATGAGCGAAGAGGCTCGCCGCACCGATCTTCGTAGCAACCTACAAAACAAAATCATCATATTCATTAAAATGCATATTTCAGAGACTAGACTTTTCAAAAAATATATTTATAAATTTTTTTAAATCAATTCTCAAATGCGCTCGTTCGTTGATCTTGCAGCACTTGTGTAATTCGAGTTATCTTGTCATTTAAAAATTAAATATCAAAGCTTGCATAAAAATATTAATCAAACAGCTGATTATACAATGGATAACGACAGTAATTATACTTAGAAATGAAGCATTACGATGAATGAAGATTAATTTCACTTCTAGCGATGAGATCCTCAGTTTAGCCTTTGTTCGCTGAGCTAGCGAGTCGAAGCGATGAATAAAATTAAATAAAAAATCGCCCAACCTTACCTTCCGCTCCCACTTCTTCCTCGCAGTGGGGCTGCTGGGCTCGGAGCTTGGCTTCTTGCGATCGAGCACTTTGATCATACCGTCTTTGACGCCCATCTGCTTGAACTTGTTCGATTTGCTAGCAATTCCCCCGGAAGAAGCAGCCTCGTCGGACCTCACATCCTCGAGAGACGGCAATTCGAGACAGCTGGAGAAGAGGTCACCGAGAATCTTCCTAACGCCACCGAGCGCCTGGAAGGGATTGGCGGTGCCGGGCTTGTAATGCGGATCCCGGCGACTGGCCAGTTCAGCGACCTTCCTGGACGAGTGGCAGCGTGCCTTATCGCATGGCGCCGCTGAGTCGTTGGTCCGAGCACCCGCCGAGTAACTGCGAATTCTGGCCGACTGCCGGCTGGCTGGCCTCGATCTGCGCAGAAATTCGTTCATCGTCGACATGAGCTCTTGATCGACCGATTGTCTCTTGCTCAGGTGGAGTTTGCGCTCTTCCTGGTGTCTCTTGATCAGATTGTCTAGAGTCTGCACGATGTCCAGAAAAGAAGGTCGCGATCGAGGTTCGTACTGTAAATGAGCGAAAAACCATATCGTTATAATTGCTTTTATCAACGTTCAGTCAGCTAAATCGAGTGGTTTACTTACGGTACAGCAGTGAAAAGCCAATTGTAGAAAAGCCGGTGGCGGATCGGATGCCGAGCATATTTCAGCGACGGCCATATAGTCGAGGCCGAAATTATCCGATCTCGGCAGTACATCGGGATCGGCGGGTACGCGGCCAATCAACTCGCAAACGACTATGCCGAAAGAAAATACGTCGGAGCGATGGTCGTACCACTGGCCTTTCAGGCACTCCGGTGACATCCAGTAAGGACTGCCCACGGTGCTGAGTCGGAAACCCGTGCTGGGATCGGGTATCTTGGCAGCCAAGCCAAAATCGCCGACCACGGCGGTGAGCTCGCGCGAAGAGGGATCTCGCTTCACCAGCACGTTCTTGGAGGTGAGGTCGCGGTGGAAGTGGCCCTTGCTGTGCAAATAAGCCATGCCGCAGGCCGTGTCGCGAGCCAGCTTCATGCGAGTGATGTGCGGCAGAGGCGTTTTCCTGGCCATTATCAGCTGTTCGAGGCTACCGCCGTTTATGTACTCGGTCAGAGCGTGCAGCTGACCCTCGTGCACGCATACTCCCATAAACCTGCAAATGTACAATTATTCGTATAAATAAATGACGTGTGCTTTTCAATTGAAGCGATTTATAAACTTTCGATTAAATTCGAGTTGCAGTTTGAATTTAATTGAAGCACTGGCGATGGGCACATTAGACTATGAAACGTAAAGTCATTGGCTACTCTATACCGATTGACATTTACGACAGGCCGTAAAAAGTGCGGAGAGCATAAACGCGCAATAAGAGTATAATTGTACGTTTGATTTATCTCGTGGATTAATAACACACTATTGCTATTTCGCTACAATGTTGAACGTTCGGCGAGATCATGATGGACGCACTGTTGCTTTTAAATTTATTCGATAAACGTCGATTTTTTTTCTTGCTTTCAAATCCATTGCGATAGATAAAATGTGGAGACACGAGGAAATCTTTGCGGGCCAGACGGTTAGTCATGTGCACGAATGCGAAACTATACAATTAAAAAAGATTAAACAAGCTGATATACATTATTCGATCGATCAACGATTGAAAACACCGCGAGGAGCTAGATTACACGAGTCAACGACTTGAATGCGACGTTACAGGTTGAATGAATCACTGCTGTATTTTTGAACTCGAGCGTTTTATCGGCAAACAAACTAGACCACGTATAGATCGTAAAGCATAGCTATAATATACATTGCCGCAGGTTGCCCTGAGACGTCAAGCGCAGCATCGGTATAGGTCGCGTCGCTCGTCATTCTCTCGCCTACGAGCAGTCCGGCCTGCATCTAAAAAGCGCATTTATCACACGCGACTTCCGTACGACCTTTAAACGCGATCAAACCTTCGGGATCCTTGACCTGATTGTCCTTAATGGTTTCTCGGTGGGCATTTCATTTTGTGGTCGATGCTTTTCTAATTGGAGCTCGCGCGCGTTTGTCTGTGTGTGTGTGTATTTATGCGGTTGTGTTAATTGGATTCGAAAGGTGAGTTAAGCGGGCGCGCCGGTGCTATATAATATGGATGAAAATGATGAGACTCCTTTTTTCCTTTGGTCTGCTTCGTTTATATTGCGAGCACTCGCAAGTGAAAGTCGCAGCTCGCGTCGAGACGGTAAAAAGTGCGTTGCCCTTTTTCTTTCTCTGCGTCTGTCTCTCTCTCTCTCTCTTTCTCTCTCCTTACTCGATTTCGATTTTTAATTAAAGCTCCGATGAAAACAAAACTCGCTCCCTGTCTTTTTTCGCGCGTTTTAGCCAACGTGTGACAAATCGTTATGTACAAGCGAGCAAATTGCCTGCGGGCCAATTGATTTTTATCGTTCGGTAATAATTTTCAGACTTTTATTATTTCTTTCGAGTAATCCTTACAAAAAAAGTATATTGCTGTAAGAAAATCGATTTAAAAGCACCATACAAGCATCTCTACGAAGTTGAGATAATGTGAACTCAGTGCCCGAACATTACGAGTAAATATAGCTTCGCTGTCGTCGTGATGTTGTAAGTTCGCAACGAGCTTGTAATATTGTTATAAACTCGCGCAATTATTGTCAGTAGCATTGTATGCAAGGCATGGACTGAACGATATGTATTTGCAATTGTGAAAATACAATTTATATTGTATCGCGTCGTGATATACGCACGAATAAATCAGCACGTTTTAAAATCACTATAACGTGCACATAATTATGATACGATTGAATGACTTTTACGTACCCAATGATGATTTTAATCCCTATAAAAGATGTAACATTGACTCTCTCACTCTCTTTCTGTCTCTCTTTTTCTCTTGAATTAATAAAATCATGCGGCGAAAGCCAATGCTGAAAATTAGCTTACAATAATTAAACGTTTGGCAAATTATTTGTCATCAGCCTTCCAGTACGTCCGTGTACATGCCAGCCGAGGTCGGAACTATATTTTTCATTCCAACGTCGTACCTTTTCGTGAATAGTTCCGGAAAATAATTATACGATCGAGAAATTTTTACACGTATTACGGCGTGTATCTTCGTTGCAGACTGGAAGTCTCGCAGGAACACACGTGTACCTTGGCTTCGGGTCAAAAATCGTCTAGCATAATGTCAAAGAACAAAGAGGTCGATAATGAATATCATTCATACATAGTGTGTACCACGTACATTCGCTCAATATTATTTATTTTTTTTAAGTAGTGCTTGAGAGTGTGACAAACGAGTAAAACAATTAAGCTGCAGCCTTTTCTTCCGCTAGTGTTTACGAAGATATCATTCTTTTATTTTAGTATCCTCGATTGTATTGGAAAACGATTTATTGAGCTTAAATCATTTTAATAATCCTCTAATCTCTGTAATTTAAGTGAAAAAATCGCAAAATGTATACATAACGAGTTCTAAATAAGCATATCGTAAGATAATTCATTTTATTCTATTTTGTCGGTTGTTAAATTGCTCATCGATTACTCTATTTCAACGATTCTAGCCAGCGAAAGTTAATTACAGAGATCTGCAATTTGTAGTTTTGCCTCGTTGCTCAGTCTATGTCTGTCTGAGTACACATGTGTGTGCATGTTTAAAATATATAATGTTCCAATTAGCTACCTGTGATTTATACAGCGTCCGAGTAGAGAACACAGTTGTATCTAATTTTTGTTGTCTTTATTTGTTGCGACTGTTTTTGATTCGCGCCAATGGGCTTATTATTGTATATTGACTCACTACACTGCGCGCGCCAAGAGGAAGAAGTTTATTTTTAGTATTATTAAAGGATATGCAAGGCCATATACGTGCCGAGTCGTTGATCTTGTAATGCACGTATTTCCTCGAGACTCTTTTTAACTCTTGGCTCTAAGTGAAATTAGTCGCGTTAACGCGTAAGCGAAAAATACATATTGATAAAAGAATGTGTTTACGTCGCTGAGCGAGAGAGCTTTTTTTCAAGATGAACAATTAGCGTGTGAGTTTGAATTATATACTTGCGAAATCGAGAAAATTACGGAATTATAAATGAAGGAAAAAAGACCGAGATAATTCTACACGGTGCTCCTTGCAATCGTCACGAATACGATTGCGAATTTTGCGAGACCATGAGTTTCTTTTCACGTGACGCATCTCGGGAGAAAATACAACGACTTTTGTGCCTGATCATTTTCTCTCAAGGACTTTATTTTAGTAAACTTAGAAGTGTCTCTTATCAATTTTTTCTTTCGTGGGTATTTTTTCAGTTGATAAGCGAATGCACTATCTTCTTTCTTTCGAAGCATAAGAAATGATAACTATTTTATATTCGTCAAGAGTAATCCACGCCTTGCCAGTTTTATAATTTGCGTTAAATGAAAATCATAAATTTTAAGGTTATCGAGAAAATTAATTAATAATTCTAAATTGAGCATGACACACACTCTCGAATCTGAGTTCTAAAACCGCTTAACCGATGATCATCGCCATAATCATCACTGTGCGTTGTCGTCGTTAACCGACTGACGTTTTTGAAGTGTAACGAGGTTAACGACGTGCAGTACTGCACGCGAGATATTAGACTCTCATATTATACTTCCACATTTGTTGAGAAATTTTTAAGAAAAATTAAATTTCAAGCTGGTGATTTTAAGCTTATCTCTACTGATGAAGCAACCGTTTAAATAATTGTTGAAATCTTGATTCAAGTAATTCAACATTTTAAAAATAATTAAATAAATTTACCTTAAAATATTTGGATGGTTTAGTTTATTCATGAGTTGAACTTCCTTCAGCATATTCGGTCGATTAGACGGAAGTTGATTCATTTTCAGGACCATTACTTGGCCCGTCACTTTGTGGGTCACCTGAAAAATAAAACGAAGCGAGGTTGATGATAAAAATTTACAACGATAGATAATATAAAATTTCTTGCAAAGTCATTCTAAGACATACGTGCTACTCTTATTACACTTTTTTCTGCGTCTCTCTTGCCAAAAAAAATAAGTCATAATATTACGTCGAAAATATTTTTGTTCAACGGGTATACGTGTGGGTAGATATATATAAGTACACGAAATTTCATATGGATTTGGTATATAAATAAGATGCACTGAGTAAAAATACTCACGCATTAGTAATCAGCACACTCTATTTTAGCAATTCCTTAGACAAATTTTTTCATACAAACGTGTCCTACTGAGGCGAAATTGCAATCGTAAAAATAGAAAATAAAATAAAATCGATTTGATGAGAGTGAAAATAAGAATGAATTTCGATGTTTCAACGATTAGTTAGGAAAATATACTCTGTGTGTATCGGTGTGTGTTTATATGTCTGCTTCGAATTGCACAAACGAGTCAATAATTGACGAAGCATAAAATCATTCTTCGAAACGTTCGCTGATAGAAGGCATTACAATACAAGTATGTAGCCATTTCTTTATTAGAAAGCGATGCATTCGTTCGCGGAAAGCCGCTTAGAATACTTGAAAATCGGGCGCACTATCGGAAGCACATTTGAATGAAAGAAAAAATGCAGAACAATCAATCTCTTGCGATTAACAAAAAATCCTAAAGTAGCGAGTATGTAGCGACGAAACGAAACATTGCGGCTGTTTGACAAAAAAAAAATGCACGCACGCGCAAGGAGATTCGCATAATGATACATAGCCAAGTGTGAGAAATAAAGATAAAAAAATAGACTCTTTGCTTGTGCCTAATATATAACTATTAGCATTTATACACAGTGCCTGGCGATGACGATGATGCGACAACACGAGCAGAAAGTACATCTAAGCACGTGTGCAAGCTAGAGAAAATGTGTCCCACGCTGTGCGCACGATGCCATAGTAACAGCAGCAGCAGCAGCAGCAAAAGCAACAGCAGCAGTGGCACATCTGGTTGACGAAGCGTTAGAAATCTCGTCGAATATAATTAAAAGGGAAATCTCGCGCTCAACTTGTGCGTGAGCGATGGAAAGTGCTATGCATACACACATACACTCACGCGTGCGCACGCATACGAGCGTTTGTTCTTATTCGCGAGCACGAGGAAACCCTTTTTTCGGGGGAACACACTTAACTTTTACCCATTGTACGGGCGGGGAGGAGATTTTTTGTCCTCCTGCCGTCGTTGTCTTTGCGAGCCAGGCGAAAGTGCGCGCGCGCGTAACAGCATGCAAAAGGTTTTGAGGAATGAGTGAATGGTGCGTGCAGATGATTCGAAATTCCACATTCACGCGCGCCACATATAATAACCCATGAAACGGTGAAAATACCGGCTGAGCATCTACGAAAATGAGTGCAAATTCATTGTCACGACTACGACTGAACGTTTTCTCAGTTTGGTAAGTTACACGATTATCGAGGCACCTACGTAGATCCAGTGCAACGTGCACTGCAGTCTACGCAAGGGAATTGAGTACATTTAACATGCGTGCCGCTGCGACGTCGTCAAGGTACAATATATATTGTGCAATAGGTTTGAAACTATTTTAATTGATATTTCCAACTAATGACGAGAAAGTCATGTAAGCGCTGGCTTTTGTATGGAAATAATTTAATGTTATGGGACATTTGCAATACCTGTAGTTTACATGCGTGAAGATGCATAAAAAATACAGGCACAGGTATCGACGTGTTTTGTATCGGACTTGTAAAAGATGTCGAGTATTTTATCGGCACCTTATAGTTGTATTATTACTAACATCACGAAAAACAATAAAAATTGATATTGGCAACGGGTTACGATTATGATCTATGCGTAAATTATTCTGCCGTCATTCTAATCTTAATAAAAAATAATAACAATAAAACGATTACCAGCTTCAGTTGTTCAACTTGGACGTAGTTTTCAAGTAGCAAAATTTTTCCGTTCATAAAAAATGTTTTATTGACAAACAAATACAAACAACGTCAATCATAATTTGAAGCTGTGTTTTCGTGCTTTTCGCATTTAGCAGTGACTATAAGAATTCATCGCGTGTATATCTCTTTTCTTAAAATAAACTGCTTCTCAAACTTTCGGATAATCCCATGCACAAAATTTTCTCTTTTCGCTAAAACTCCTGAGCTTAACGAATTACTCCTCAGAACTGGTATTCCAAGTGAATCCATATGTAATAATCAGAGCGTCGACTGGTTTTTTTATCGTATTATTTTTTAAAATTTTTAAAAAATACCAAGAGAATGGAATGAATTATGTCTTTGTGAGAGAAGAACGCTCGTGTATGTATGTATAATATGCGAGGGACTTGAGCAGTAGCCAAAAGACGACGATGATTCTGCTGTGAAGATACTCGAGCTCGACGCGAAAAAGAGGGGAAATATAAGGCGTCTTAGAAATAAACAAGTAGAAATGTTCGCGAAAGAGAAATTCCTTGAGCTTGTTTTTTTCGCGATTATTTACAAGTCGTAGAAGTGAGGATAATTGTTTGTGTATTCGTTGTTACCTGCGTGTTGCATGCAATTTATCTTCGAATTAGGCAATTTTTCATTGCGCGCGCACGATGATGATTAGCGGGCAAATACGTCGAAGAAGATAAGATTCGTTAATAATCATCTCTTGTAATGAATTCGTAGAAAATGGCCGAGTTGCCGTTTGAAAAAATATTTCATTCGCGTAAAGAGCGCGTATATTTTAAGTGGATTCGTTGCTACGCAGCGCGTCTGACACAATTACGATGAGCAAACTTTTCAAAATAAGTTTAACGAACGTTTGTGAACGATAAATTACAATCAACGGGCACAAATAGCAAATCAAAATTTCGTCTCCAACTGTACAATAAGTGCACGAGCTTTGACAAAGGCACAGATAGAAAAGCCTAATTAGTCGACAAAAGAACGATTTTTTTCACACTGTCGAACTAATTGGCTGGGTTATAACAAAGCTCGCGTCTCCTTTTAATAGCAGCACCCGGACCTATGTACCTATCCATCCCCATTGGTCGCATAGCAAAATTTCCCACTACTTTGGTAGCTCTTGAGTTTTATACGAGCGAAGGGATCCTCGGCGTCGCTTGATATTTTTTCTCCCTGCTCTTTTTGTTTCATCTCCCTGCTTGGTCGCACGTATTATACATCGTAGCGTGATTTAGGATGCTACAAGAATTTGCTTTTTAAATACTTTGGTGTACGAGCGCGCTTGCAGGCGCACAAGCGTCGGAGAAAGGAAGAGAGGGAGCTAAAAATGGTCAAGTTGAGAATGTGGTGAATTCGCGTACGTGCGTGGCGCGTGCGTAAGGCGGCGCTGGGCAACGATACTCTGCGGCTAAACCGAAGGTACTTTTGTGTTTCGCGCGACGTACGTGCAACCACACGGTCGTTCTCGGCGTGGAAACTAATTTTAGCAAAGTGCTCGCAAGCCTACCGCGAGTACGTATGTACACGCAGGCGCGCTGCGTTAGATATTGATAAAAGCTCTCTTTCTCTCTAGGCGCGTAGGCAAAATCCACGCGGACGAGCTCTCCGAGTGCTCTTTGCTATAGTTCTCCATGTTTGCACGAAGCCGGGCACATAAAGGCAGAACAAAAAACGACCACGGTGGTGACGACTCTACGCCTCGTCTGCAGCTAAATGGAAAATCTTACCGTTGCACTTATTTTTTTGCTTCAGTTCATATAAATCGAGGCGTACTGACCGTGGCCTAAGAGAGTGAGAGAGAGAAAGAAACACCGTAAGCACACATAACGTGATTTCACTCACCTAGTAGATATATATAAATAATCGAGTTTGCGAGTGCGTGAATTAATCTCTCACTATGCTTTTGCTCACTGACGGTGCGTGTGCATCATTTAGATCTCTCTCTTTCTTTCCCTCACCTACAGGCGTAATGTCGAGTATCACGCATTCGAAACATTTGGGATTTTCATGGTCGCGCGCGCATCATGAATCTGCGTGTACGTGTGTGTAATTTCTATAAGAATACTTACACATCACAGCTCACGCAGAAGAGAAAGCAAGTACACGCTCGGATTCTACTGTGTGTATGCAAGTGAGGAAGTAAATTCGTTCATACATAAATATATGTTCGCGAGTGTGCGTACCTGAGCCAGGGATGAGAGAGAGAGAGAGAGAGACAGGGAGAAAGAAAGCAATTTGTAAGAGATACCAGAGCGAACGGCAGGTAATTGTTGGCAAAATTAAACGCGTGGGAGTGAAAGACGCAGACGAATCATGGTATGTTTGTGTAAGCAAGAAATGGAGAATGACATAATTATAAATTTGACAACTTTTGTGCACGAGTAGCAGAAACGGAGTAGATAATGATCAAGTGTGGCTGCTGCTTCTTATGAAACTAACGTTCAGAGTTTCCATTACAAAATTTAAGGAATTTCGCATCTTTTTCTTTTCTAAAATTTCATATTTACAAAGACATATGGCAAAAGTTTTAATTGCAGAACTACGAGATGCTTATTATCCAACTTCAATTTTTTAAAATATACATGTAATAAAAGGATACAAGTTTCTATTTGTTTAATGATTATACATGATAAACAACTGATCAATAGTAAATTTAGAATAAGATTTTTTGAAATTTATAATTAAATTTTAACCTGTTCAAGTATATAAAAAAACTTGTTCGTATTGAAATTGTGAAATTTAAACGATAGTTTTCGTTTAAAGTGATATACATTGCAATGCAGGGTAAAAATCAAAAATCTTGATGGAAAATTGGCAGCCCATCGGAAATAATGAAGCATCGCTTGCGGAAGGAAATTGAAGGAAGCTTAACTACATACCACTGGCACCATTAAAAAAAATTGATTGATATCCTAATGATCAAATACAACGTCTTTTTTTCAGTGCAGTCACATTATGAAAATTGGATCGCGCGAAAATCTGTAATTGACGGTAACGATCGGCTCT